GTACCGAGGAATAGTAACTGCATGCTGATAGTGATACTAATAAGTAAATTTTCTTGTATAAATATGATTTATGGTAAAAGTGAAATATTGTGAAACACCTAATTAAGTAACATGGAGATCAAATAGTATCAAATGAAAGTAGACATGGATAAACACATTATTGTTTCTGTCATTCCAGACAATGTAGCCTATTCTAGCACAGAGAGATAGGTTACATGGTTTAAATAGAGCAACCAAACTCTTTTGGTTGAAGAAAGAAGTGCAGTAGTAACTATGAATCATTATCATCGAGATATAATAATTAAGTACTTAAAAAGTGCCCATGTTTACGTAAACGAAACACATTCAGTTGTCACGCAGAAATCGAGCATATATATATATACAAAGGTAAATACATAAGCCTGACCACAGGCTATTGATAAGTACATACTGCAGCTGCTTGCAATGAATGGATTGCACTTCATGCCATCTCGAGTCTGTATATATGGAACACTGGAGGCTCTACGGCACATTAAGTACGTACATGCATATCTGAGCAGGTCATCACCACAGCCAAAAAATAGATAAAAGACCACCCGCGCGCTCCCAGCTTTTACTTAGGCCTTAATCATCATCTAGACGTCTTCTGTGTCAAATAAAGAGCCTACGCAGGACAGGCCGCACACATGGGAGCGGCTCACAGTTACATGTTCACTTATATAAAATCTCTATTTTTTTCGGGGCGATTCACAACGGATTACATAGACAAAAGCTTTCATCTGTGGACCTCTCAGCAAAGGGAGGGGGGAAATCTAAGGAGAAGAAATGAAATGCTCAAGAGGTGAGGTTGTTTGGGCAGCCCCCTCTTATTTATCAAGGCCCTATTACACAATCCCAAATTGCCTCTAAGTAATTAGAGCGAACCACAGGAAATCTAAGGAGAATAAATGAAATGCTTGAGGTGAGGTTGTTTGGGCAGCCCCCTCTTATTTATCGAGGCTATTACACAATCCCATATTGTCCCTAGGTAATTTGAGCGAACCACCTAACCGAAGAGGCTATTGATGAGTACATACTGCTGCAGCTGCTTGCAATGAATGGATTCCACTTCATGCCACCTCGAGTCTGTATATATGGAACACTGGAGTCTCTATGGCATATTGAGTACGTACATGCATATCTGAGTAGGTCATCACCACAGCCAAAAAATAGATAAAAGGTCACCCGCGCGCTCCCAGCTTTTACTTAGGCCTTAATCATCATCTAGAAGTCTTCCATGTCAAATAAAGAGCCTACGGAGTACTCGCATGACCTCCATTCCCACGAGAATCACATGTCCAGATTACACAGACAAAGAGCTAGTTCATCTGTGGACCTCTCAACAGGCTAAGGGGAGAGGGAAAACCTAAGGAGAAGAAAATAAAGCTCAAGAGGTGGGGTCTATTTGTGACAGCCCCCTCTTATTTATCGACGCCTATTACACAATCCCAAGTTGCCCCGGACCACCTAACTCAAGGTATATTATGGCCCAACTCAGATGTCTGTTGATCCGATGGCCACACGTCCGTCATGACTTAGCTTCGTCTCGACGCAAGCCTCGTGTTGACGCCACGTGCCGCCTCCGATTCGCGCGGGAACCGCACCGGGTTTTGAGGCATAAACCCGAAAACCGTCCACCAATGGTTTTCAGACCCAAACCACCGAACTACACGACACATGTCACCGTCGTCTTCGACCGCCCGGCCACCAAGTCTTTCAAAGCCTCTGTTTGACTTGCTCGACCATCGTCTTGACTTGGTCAACATGGTCCATCTCCCATATTGTACACTTGCACTTGTCAATGACCCCAGGTGTCAGCAACCCACGGCCGGTCACCCGGCTTCTCCGGTCCCTTAGTCCACCTTCACCTTCGCCGCCAACCACCGTCTCCGAACTCCACACCTGCGCACCACAAGTCAAAGGGACATGTTGCACAGTCCAACTCACGCCATAGTTAGTTCAACAACTCAACCTATTCGCACTCAAATTTGGCTCGGACTCAACAGCAATATTCATGAAGAGGTTTTCGGCTGGTTTGTGCGGGCTGTCCAGTAAGCCATGTTAAGCCATCGAACCCGCAACGGAGAATCGGCTAGCATCACTTATACATGCTGGAAGTCCGATGTGAAGCGGTGTTTTTGTTGCGTGTGTACGTGTCGTATTTCGGGCAGCAGCCAAAGCAAACAGTAGAAGGATCTGAATCCAACTCGCAGCCGCCGAAGGAAACGGGAAAAGGATCTGAGTCCAATCGTTATATGAGTTCAGATGCCAAATCAAGCTCCGTTTGTCATACAGGAAAGATTACATCCAAGTATTTGGCAAGGGACGACACAGCAAGGTGCATCACGTCACTTGCCTGATTGCCTACACGTACGTGAAAGGTTCAGAGGTAGTTTAGGAGATTCAAATGTAACGTGCATGCATGTGGCCAGCTAGGCGGTGTCCTCTTCGTATACATGCCGGCAAGGTAGAAACGTATTTGCATTTACAGGTGCCTTGCCGGTTGGCTAAAGTCCGGCCGCCCTATAAATATAAGGGTGACAATCAATTGAGGTATTCCAACTACATAATTGTTAAAATATAACATAAGCCCTCTCTTTGCCCTATCTTTTTCAACTCCATGCTGTTCATCTCTTGATTTGACGAACAAAGATGGCACCCTAGGCTCGCCGGCTAACCTAGGGTAACCCAGCAGCGTCCTTGCCCTGACAGGGTCCCTTCTGAGCGAGAGCTTCGACGACTTCTTTGCTAGTTTGCTCGGAAACTAGCCGTTCTTCGTCATGCAAGCACGATTGGTTACCCTTTGCTGGTTTGCTTGTAAACCTCGCCGCTCTTCACCATGAAAGCGTGTTGGTTATCTGCTGCGTTCTTCGGTCCATGGTGACCCGAGCGATCTAGCCCTAGCTGGTGTATGATCCGGGATCAATCCGGCGTCAACACAACCCAATACGCTAATCTCGTTGACAACCACCCATTACAACCGAGCCAAAGGGCACATATCAACCTTAATTGTGTTCGCAAGGGCCGTGGTATATATATGTATGCACTATCAAGTAAGTGTTATGAAAGTGATGCTCAAGACGACAAGACAAATCTAATCTCATATGGAATGGGAAAATTCCCCATTGTACAACGGTTATGAGCGAGTCAGTTTATAGGTGGAAACAAATAGGGCCGTGGTATATGTATCAACTATTGAGTGTGAGTGATTATGAAAGTGATGCTCAAGACGACAAGACAAATCTAATCTCATATGGTTTTTATACTTCTACACAAAAAAATAAGTGTTATCAACAATCAAAATTTGAAAAGTATGACCCAATTTTATTCTACATATAATTTCTCGAGGAGAGTACTACTCCCTCTGTTCGAAATTATATATCGCTTTGGCATATTGTATATTTAGATGCATAGAAAAAACTATACACCTAAAAAAGTTAGGGCAATTTATAAATTGCGATGGAGGGAGTAGTTCTTTTTTTTTGCAAAGGATGGAGGGAGTAGTTCTTATATATGCTAGCTACAAATTGGGGGCTACCTTTTCCTTTCTTGTTTGCTTTTCCATTCAATACTAAAGGTTGGCTTAATGCAAAAAGGCCAGAAATTTATAGTGAAGCTTCCTTAATTAATTAATAAAAATACATTGGGATTACTGTATGGTCCGTCCAGCATGGGGTTCTCTTGATCTCTCAGGTCCCCTGAGAAAGTAGTGTAAACTAGTACATCTTAGACTATCTCCAACGATAACACCCAAAATATAAGACCCATTTGACCTTTGGGTAGCGCTACAGTCAAAGAATTCAATATCTATTCGGCATCTTCTTCAACAACATGACCCAAAAGAGAATCATTTCTGCAAATGGGTTTTAAGGAGAAAGGATGCTCATATTTGGGTTGTGTCTCCGGCGTGGCCCCGCCCTCCCCTCCCTCTCCGGATCCGAGCGTCGCCCCTCCCCTCCTCCTCCTCCCCGGATCCGGCTGCCGCCACTCCCTCTCTCTCTCTCTCTCTCCCGGTGGCGGCGTGGTGCTGGTGGTGGCATGGCGTCGGCGGGAGGCGTGGTGCTGGTGGTGGCGTGGCGTCGACGGGAGGCGTGGTGGTGGTGGTGGTGTGTTGGCGGCAGGCGTGTCGGCGGTGGGCGTGGCGGAGGCGAGCGTGGTGGCAGGCGCAGGAGCTGCGCGAGCCAGTCGAGCGTGAGGAGGCGATGAGCTCGCCGGCGATGGCGGCGGCGCTGTTGGTGGAGGGGCAGGAGTGGTGGTGCTGCTTTTTTTGGAAAAATATTTGCCGAGTGTTTTTTGGGCACTTGGCAAAGTCTTTGCCGAGTGCCCGACAAAAAACACTCGGCAAAGATTCTTTGCCGTTAAAAATTTTACCGAGCTCGATAAACGCTTTGCCGAGTGTTTTCGTGCCTGGCACACGACAAAGATCATGTTCCTGGTAGCCTATTGGTGGCTGCTTTTAGGTCTCTATTATCCATTTTGGGTTTAGGTGCTCATATGGGTCTCTTGTTGGAGACAGTCTTAGGCGCAAACATACAAACTATATTAATAAAAACATGTTCTAGTAATTCAAAAAAAGTAAAACTTGGTACATCTATATTAGTGCACTCATATATAAACTCACATGCAAAAAGTAAGATGTAAACTTAAACTAGAAAAAGGCATACGAAAATACTCCGTAATAAATTTCATATGTATTTACGCTGCAAGACAAAACCACTTTATTCCATCCATCATTTCAACGCACCAAATGAAGCGAAACACAAACAAACATTGCTCGTGCTTGAGTGCATGTTTGTCGTTCTTCCTCGATCGGTCCATGGTCGATCGAGAAATTACTTAATATAAAAAACATTCAGGAAAAGAGGAAACGATCGAAATCGAAACAGTCAGATGAGAGGGAAGGGAACATATGATCCATCCACCATGCATGGCATGGCATGGCATGGCATGCATTGCCATGTCATCGATCGATCAGTAGATCACTACTGGTCCTTGGTTGGGTAGGATGCCATCTTGTTGATGCCGCAGAGACCCTCCGGCTTGCCGGTGCCCCTCTTCATCCGGATGTAGCCCTTCTCCCCCCAGTGGCTGCCCCACGAGTTCTTCACGATGATGTAGTCCTGCCCCTTGCTGCTGCCGTACCCGACCGCTGCCACGCCATGGTCCAGCTCCGCCCCGCACGGGCCATCGAACACGCCCTGCATTCGTGGATCATGGATCATCCATGGATCGAGTTGCAGCATTTGCAACAATGGCGGATTGGATGGATAATGGAGCAATGGTTACGTACCCCGCTGTAGAACTGGAAGTGCCTGCCGGACGCCTCAATGGCGACGCTGACGGGCTGGTGCGCGAGGGCCTTAACCAGGGCCTGCTCGTCGTTGGCCGGCACGTCCTCGTACCCGGAGATGGTGACCACCTGCTCGCCGTCGCGTGCCTTGTCGTCGCAGTCCCCTTCCTCCATGAGGTACGGGTACGCCTCCTCGGTGCGGAGGCCGCCGCTGGACGCGATGTACGAGAAGGCGTAGTCCATGACGCCGCCGTTGCAGCCGTTGTTGCCGTCGGTGCTGCAGTCCACCAGCTCCTGCTCCGACAGCGACGTGAGGTTGCCCGTCACGATCTGGTTGATCCCTTCCACCGCTGCCACCGTCGAGAAGGCCCAGCAGCTGCCGCACTGCCCCTGGTTCTTCACGTCCGTCACCGCGCCCTTCTTCCGCCAGTCCACCGACGTGGGCACCTCGTCGTCGGACACGCCGCCGTACCTGAAAGGACCATTACCGCTGGTCGTCGTCGTCTTCGCCGGCGGCGTCAGGCCTAGGTAGGTGGCCCTGAACTCGTCATGCGTGAGGTCGGCGAAGGCGTTGAGGCCTAGCCAGTAGCTGGTGACCTTCTTGTTGGCCTCGTCGATGTGGTGCAGGTTGTCCTTGAACACCTCGAAGCGGCGCAGCTTCTCCTCGAAGCTCGCGTACGCCTTGCGGTACTTGGCCACCCACTCCTCGAACAGCTTGATGAGGCGGTCGTGGTGAACCAGGTCCTCCGGCGAGTACCCCACGATGGAGAAGAAGTCGTCGCTGTTGCTGTCCATCTGGTCGGGGCGCGCCTCCACCGCCTGCAGCCACGCGCCGCCGCACAGGCACAGCAGGAGCACGGCAGCAACGTTAACCGGAAGAACACAAGACGGAGCCATTGCTCAGGAGTAGGAAGGAGAGGCAGAGATCGAGGTTGCTGTTTGCAGATCGACGAAACAATGCACGTATATATACTCATCATTCTGCAGGTCAGGTGGTGCATTGCGTAGTCAGTCGATCGCTTGGAAGCAAAGCCAAGGCATGGTGTCGTGGGTAAAAGCCTAAAAGGGGAATGGGAAATGTGGGCGACCGGCAACACACAACCAATGAGTGTTTCCTGAATGATGCCTAGGCTTGAAGCTTCCGTTTATCTCTGAATCCCAGACTTTGCTTCCAAGCATGCATGCCGGATTGCCGGGTGCAGAGATCGAGAGCATGCAGATGCTTGTTGTTTGGCCGCAAAGTTCAGAGAGAGAGCCAGAGAGGAGGGAATCTCAGTCTCTGTGACTCTCAAGTCTGAACCGGGCAACCGGCCAACCTATTCAGAGAAAGAAACGCATGCGTGCATCTCGCTCAGGTCTGGACTCTGAAGCTTGAACTGAACTGAGCTGAAGGAACACCACTGTACGTGGAACCAACAACCGCAAGTCCGCGACCCTGATGCATGGATGAGCTATGTTTGTCAGTGGTCTCGAGTCCTTTACGTTACAGGCTAGTGGTTCCTGTCTCTGCTAGCTCAACATGGCACACATCTGAGGTTGTGGCTTCTAGGATGTCTGTGTGCATTGCAGTAGTTGCAGGCCACCAGAGGATTATCGATCATGTTTCTGTTTCGGAAAGGAACACGCTATCGATCGAGATCGATCGATCTATCTGTTGGACCACGCTTCTTGCTTGCTACATGGAGTGAAACAGGGGCATCTGCTCCATCATACTGCTTCATGTGCACAGGCCATGGCATGCTCATATGTGCTCTTGCAGAGTTGCCGTTGCAGGCCATACTAATAAAGTCAGCACTGACGTATGTATACCTTTGCTTGCTTGCTAGTGGAGCACGTGCAGTACACTCAAGCGAGTAAGAGTAACACACTCTCGTGACAATTTGTCCCCCCCACCCCCCCACCCAAAAAAAAGAAGAAGACTTGATGTTCATGAGACGGTTAGATTTATTTGCAGAGTGATGAATGCAAGTTCATAGAAAGTCCACATATATAACCCATGCATGCATGAGTCACAGCTATCAGAAAATAAGTACACTGTACATGTAAGATCCAAGTACGGAATCCACTCGACCGATAATGCATTTACTGCATATCCATTATTCTATAACAGTCGTCCTAACGAACTCCTGGGTAAGAAGCGATCGAATCGAATAATTAAGATCCAGCAGTATCATCATGCATCCTGGAAATTGGATTTGACAGCAGCGATCTTCCTCTGCCGCCGCGTCGGCCTCAAGTTACTGAAGTTACGCTTGCTCAACTCTGCGATCTCGCGCCTGATAATGGCCGCCGCGTAAGGCAGCACGTACATGTGTGTGTCGTCGTCGTCGAGCCTCTCCATGATGAACCTCTCGGATTCAGGCATGGATTCGTTCAGCATGACGATGAACTCCGCCATGGGCGCATCACAGGGATGTACGGAAGAAACAAACAAGAACAGAGGATGGATTGGATCAGACAATGCAATGCAAGAGTGTGGATTAGTACTACTATTATTATGATGCGTGCACTGAAGAATTGAGGTTAGTTAGTAATTTAATTGCCAGGATATGAAGAGGCCCCTGATTGCGTTAACCATGTTTTCTGAATGAACGGAGTGTTGGATTAATTGATCGGACCTCCCTCGCTTTGTTTTTTTTTTAAAAAAACAATATGGCAGACTTTATTCATTCAGGATTTGTTTCGGCGTGTTGGGGTGTCCAATTTATCTATCTATCTATCTATCTACTATATACTACTGCTACAGTATTTAATTTAGCCGGTTGATCATTAGCCTTTCTGTGTGTACACACAAATATGTATGGATGGATCATTAGCAACCAGTCAGCATGGTGATTTTGGTATTGAATTTTCTGTTGTGTTAGTTTCTCTTGTTTGTTTGTATCCATTTCAGTTCATTGCTCCTCCTTGATTTGCGCTGATCGATGTCGGTGCAGTCTTTGTAGCTAGTACTAGCTGTCGTGTGAAAATGAGAGGACAGCAACAGCATGCACTGCAATGCAGTGCAAGAGGTGTGCTGCTTGTTGTTTTCATGGCCATCTGGGCATGCATGTGTATCCTCTTTCCTTATTGGTTTGATGCATGCACCATGTCCATAAAGAGGCTTTGTTTGTGGGGGCGCACTAACATACAATCATCATTCAACATGAACCTTTAGAGATATAGAGATGTGCAATTTATCATATCTCAACACTCTGCTTATGCAAGTATTATGCCATAATCTCATAGTAGAGGGAAAACACTAACTAGGATAGGAGTACCTTGTAGTAACAATTTGGAGCTTGACAAAAGCTGGTTGGGTTAGGGCCTGATTGGTTTGAGCCCAGCCAAAACTGCCTGATCCAGACATGAATCCGAGGCGTCCAAATTTGGAGACCTGGGACTGAGATTGCTGACTAGGCTAGGAGATCAGAGGACTCCAACCAAACAGCTCTGTAATCTTTTGTTAGTATTGTAAGTCATGGACTCACATCTCCTGATGCTGCTTGTTTATTTAAGCCCCCCCCAAACCAGCTCCAGTGGTCAACATCTGTCTTCACGTCCTCTCCTTCCTCCATACTGATGTATATATATTAAAATCCCACAGATGATGTATATTATTAAAAATATAGGGGAAAGACAGATGTATATATTTGTTAATTGCAAGTGTGCCGTGGAGGCTGCTGAAGATGCGGAGGAAGTCTCCATGCACTCCCAGTGATGAGGTAGCAGATCTGGATTCTGGGAGTGGGCAGTGGATGATAAATAAGCATTTGTGCAACACATGCATGCTCCAGATCTCCCACATGCATATGCCTGGCAGCCCCAGTTTTATTTATGCCTTTGTGCACTTCTTTTCAGCGGTGCATCTGAATCTGTGTACTTGAAACGGCTGATGCTGATTTGTTGTGAGAGAAAAACACTATTATTTCGCTGAAACGGTACGGCTGATAAGTTCAAACGAACAGGTCCTGGTTAGGAATTGTGCACATAGAAATTGGATCTCTGTTACAGACTACAGTGCAGGGCCACCCTCCAATGCTGTCACCACATCTTGGGATCAATCCCCTTCATATATGGAGGAAGGAGAGGACGTGGAGACTTGTTGACCACTGGAGCTGGTTTGGGGGGGGGCTTTAAATAAACAAGCAGCATCAGGAGATGTGAGTCCATGACTTACAATACTAACAAAAGATTACAGAGCTGTTTGGTTGGAGTCCTCTGATCTCGTAGCCTAGTCAGCAATCTCAGTCCCAGGTCTCCAAATTTGGACGCCTCGGATTCATGTCTGGATCAGGCAGTTTTGGCTGGGCTCAAACCAATCAGGCCCTAACCCAACCAGCTTTTGTCAAGCTCCAAATTGTTACTACAAGGTACTCCTATCCTAGTTAGTGTTTTCCCTCTACTATGAGATTATGGCATAATACTTGCATAAGCAGAGTGTTGAGATATGATAAATTGCACATCTCTATATCTCTAAAGGTTCATGTTGAATGATGATTGTATGTTAGTGCGCCCCCACAAACAAAGCCTCTTTATGGACATGGTGCATGCATCAAACCAATAAAGGAAAGAGGATACACATGCATGCCCAGATGGCCATGAAAACAACAAGCAGCACACCTCTTGCACTGCATTGCAGTGCATGCTGTTGCTGTCCTCTCATTTTCACACGACAGCTAGTACTAGCTACAAAGACTGCACCGACATCGATCAGCGCAAATCAAGGAGGAGCAATGAACTGAAATGGATACAAACAAACAAGAGAAACTAACACAACAGACACAACAGAAAATTCAATACCAAAATCACCATGCTGACTGGTTGCTAATGATCCATCCATACATATATATATATATATATATATATATATATATATATATATATATATATATAGAGAGAGAGAGAGAGAGAACTACTACCCTGTAACTGGCTACAAAAATAACTTATTCTGTAGCCACTTTAAGTTATGATAATTACTATATTAATTTACGAGATTATAGTAACTTCATACTAAGTGGTTTACTGTAACTTTATGGTAAATATCTCCATGTGTTATAATAACTCAACTATCATAAATATATATATATATATATAAAGGCTAATGATCAACCGGTTGATTTGCCGGTTGTTATCAACCGTTTTTTTGGCCGTGCGATGCGGAAGCGTCGGCCTCCCACCGCCTGCGATCATGCTGGTGCGTGCGTGCGTGCGATGCGTCCCTGTGCGTGCGTCCGCTCGGCTTCAGCGTCAAGCAAGCAATCATGCCGGTGCCTGTGTCCCTGTCTGACACACGAACGCGAGCACGGAACACCATGTGATAATCTCTCCTCTCTCACCACCTTATGTGGATTTTGTTTTTTTAATTTCTGAAGAATTTGTGAATAATTTGATATATATTTCTCTGATGCCTGAAATTCATAGAAATAATTTGTAAATCTTTTTGAAAAAATTGGCATATATTTGTGTTATTCCCAAATTACATTACTCTTTTTAATAAATTACACGGAAGAAATTATTATAAATATAGTAATAAGGCAGTGTAAATATAGCTATAAGACAGTGTAAGTGTATGAGAAAATTTTGGTTGATGAGAGAGGCTAAAACAACCGGTTGTTGACTAGATATTTCCTTAATTTATGCTGGGCTGGGTATTCGAATCCAACAACGTAACGAAACGAATCCGAGGAGGAAACGATTTTGTTGCTGCTTTCCTTGCTTGTTTACTGTACCGCCATTGCTGCTATTCGGCCCAGTCTCCGGGCCCAATTCCGAATGCAGTTTCTTTCTTGTTAGAAGATCCATTCATAAATAGAGGGACGCAATTTCCGCTGGAAAACAAATATTGTCAGGTTCGCTAACCCAGGGTCCCTCGGGGACCGACTACCACGCCAGGGCTCGGCCCAAGAAAACAACATGTTGTTCATGGGCCGGCCCGAAGGTCTAAGGATACGACGGGCCGGAAGGACAGTCCAGTCGCCGACCGGAAAGTCTGCCCGAATGACCGAACGTCCGCTCATCAACTTCTTCGGCCCACCTCCGACCGGAGTGCTCGCACCGAGCACCAGCCGCCTCCGGGTAGTCTCTCCGATCGGAAGGCCTGGCCCAAAACGCTGCTTCCTATTCCGACCCCGCGACTCCGACCGGGGGACCCGTAGGAAGCCCGCCTGGCGCTCTTCTCCGACTGGCGCGGCTAGGACCGACTGGGGCCATCCGACCGGGGGAGCCCGCTCGGAAGGGTCCAGGGGCAAACGGAGAGGGCAGCGCACAAAGTCAAACCACGATACCGGGACCATACCCTGATCACCTGCGGGAACAGTACTCCTCAACCGCCCTGACACAAACAGTATTGTAGGCGCCGACATTTGTGTCTACAGTATTGTAGGCGTCATTGAACTCCCATACGGCAAAAAGCCCCCCACATACCTCTGGGCATCGGCAGTGGGCACCAGGGTTCACCATGCCTGGTACACGTGGTGGGGCTCCTCCCACACCAATAGTATTTTTGTAGGTACCGACGACCACCCTTCCTCAAGAAGCCAACGCAACCTCCTATGCGCACCAGACATTACACAGTAACGACAACAGTTCAAGTGGGCGCCTACCATCGGCTGTCCTCATCGGCATGGGCAACAAGGAATAGTAACATCCGTACTCTCTCCCCTCTCACCTGTAAAGTCATCCCCTTTATCTATAAGAGGGGATGCGCTCCCTCCAACAAGGGGAGATCGATTCCTCAAGAGAACAACTTCCTCAAGCGCAGACTCACTAGATCGATAGCTCACAACCCCTCAAGCACCCGCTTGACCACCTAGCTCATAGCGGAGTTCCGGTCGCCCTCGGCCCTTCCGGTCGGACCCGACCGGGCCTCTCGTACACCCCTTCTTTCTCCTTCTCGTTTGTAACCCCACTACAGACTTCAAGCACCTGGGCTCGAGAATAAAGTCACCGACCGACCCACACTGGACGTAGGGCATGTTGGCTGAATCAGTATAAATCCTGTGTCATTGAGTGCTAGGCCACCTCCGATCATAACGTATAGCAAAACTATAAATATTCACTAGTTGGTCACTTTCTATACCGACAAATATAGTCTCTGCACTATATTAGTTAAATTAAATATTCTTATTTAGGTCCCAAACAATAAACTATAGACCTAAGTTCCTAAAATATTTATAAGTATCTTATATTAATTGCAGGCCAAGGTAGTAACGTCACAGCCCTTTAGCTTACGTGTGAAACCCATATACGTGGCCACGTGGGTACCACGCTCATGATTATAAAAACGGTCACTAAACTTGTACATAATTTTTATTGAGGTTCTCAAACTATATAATCACTGATCTCGATCCTTACTAATAATCTATATTAAACTATTCTATTCTAGGTCCAAAGCAACAATCTAGTGCTGGAAGGACG